AAAAGACAAGAGGAAAAAAAAGTCTTTCCTTGAGCTTACTGCACATTTCAAAACCACACTGGTGGAGATAAAATCTTGCGTTGTTCTGTTGTGTTTTTGTGTTTTATCACACACTGAATGCCGTATTTTGTTTTGTTTTCATTTTAGCTATGAAATCTGCATTCACATCAATATTGTGGTGTAGGTTGAATTGCACTGGGGAAGGTATTACACAATACTAGGAATGCCTGTAGTTATAGTTGAGTAACATACAGCTGCATGTGTGTTACTGTGGGTTTGGGCAGGGTGAGCGTGGAATGTTTGTTTTGATTTTATAAGGCTCAGTCAGGGGGGACCCAGGACAGTGCTGTGTGTATAGCTGTGTCCGTGTATGTGCGTGGGTGTGGGTGGGTGTAAGAGAGGGGAGGGTTCGTTCGTGGCAAATTACCCTAAACTTTCCTCTGTTCTTGTTTTCAATTCCCCATCCAGGGCTAAAAATTAGGTCAGCGGTCACATGTTGTGTGTGCAAGCCAAAAAAGCAACAAGAGACGGAAAAAAAGAAAGGAAAAGAAAAGCAGAGACATTCTTAACCTTCTTAACAGATACCTCTTTGGCAGTCTGTAGCTCAGCTTTAAATTTATCCACTAGCTTCAGATTTTTTGAGGTCAAAGCTTCACGGGCCAAAACAAAGACGGGTTTTCTCTCCCTAGAGCTCAACGGAAATGTGAGTTGACCGTGTGCTATACTTACTGTTGACTTTGGAGGGGATCCAGGCTCGGTGACCTTGTGGAAAGTCACAGTCACAGGTGCCGGAGTGCATGCGCGCGGCCTAAATGCCTGACACGAGCGTCTGCTGATAGGAGTGGCAGGAACGAGGAAACAATGAGCCAAACATTAAGTGTCACAGAGATAAAGGATCCTGCTTGGCAATCTCACAATAAAGTCAGTGTTTATGTTCGGCTCATGTTGTGGTTCAAATTGGAGCGCGCTGACTTGACTGCTAAGTTGTGATGGGTGTGAGCAGTTTCCTGAAAAAAGCATGCAGGAATGAAAACATATAACACTGCATCAACTGCCCACGTACGCATACAGACGACAAACATTCGGTGGCATCTGTAATATAATTTTAGTCAGTCTGACAGAAGACAATGAGATTAATCTTTAAATAAATATTAACATAATTATACTTAATTAAATAACTATATTTAATGGCCAGTGTCTGATCTGAAAGCTTTCATGGAAGAAAAAGAAAACTGGAGACTGTTTTGTGGAGAGATTAGATCATCTTCAGCGTCACCGAGTACAAAAGTATTATCTGTTTAAACATTCAGTCACATTTGTTAGTACTGCCACCTCAGACAAAACATTACTAAAGGGACATTGTGAAACCTTTGCTTACAACATAGGTGCTTTGATTTGAAACCGCAGCCATGTGTTTTAAACCTATCAAAAACATTATGAACGCCAATGTTTGGTACAGTTCAAATGAGAACCTCGGTGATCATTTATAGCTTTATTTAGGATTTAATAGCTATTTAAAATCAGGCAACACAAGCCCGCTAAAATTAAATAAATAAATAAAACTGGGTTGACTCCTATTGAATGGTTAACTGCATAAATGTGCATATACAGTATAAACTATCTGTATTTGGCATCTTGTCTCTAACACTGTCACTCCCCAAAGGAAACGCTTGCATGTCAGGAAGTTGGAAGCTACCAGCAAAAAACTGGCAGAGTTAAAAGTCACTTTTGAAACGGACGATTTATTATAGCTGCAGAACACAGTTTAGATTTTAGATTCTAGCCCTTGAGCTCATCGCTCCCCACAGGTATGCTATGAGATATAAAGCTGTGGAGTGATACGTCAACACAGGGTCTCCTTTGACCCTACGGGTGAAGAGGTTGAAACAACAGGGGGTGATGCAAGCAGACACAGCAGTGGGAAATTTTGCAGCTTAAATGGAGCGCCAAACTGGGTGGGTGTGTTTGCTTTATGACATAAGGAGAGCGAGGCATGTTATGTGTATTATGCAATGTTCAACGCAGCTCGAGTTGCCTGCCTGAACTAGCCTGCAGGCTTCTAAAAATCTATTTTTTTTTAGGTCACATTTATTAATGCCAGCCAAAGGGTGTAACATGCAGAGTGATCACACAATCCCAAGAGTTCCCTCACTGGCCTCTAAACTTATTAACAAGTTCACCGATGGAGCCAGCGTGATAACTATTGAAATCCCTTATAGTCTTCTAGTGTTCATTCATCTTTATGTGTGTGTCCATGTTAACTAATTTCTTGTTGTTGTTCCGCTCCACTATCCAATCAGAAACAAGCTGTCCGCTTTCACTAGATAAAATAGTTATTTTACCTTTTGTCACACTCAAGAAACGAAAATAGAGTTAACATACAACAGTCTGCACAGCTGCAATCAACCCCAGAGTCGTACTGAGGTGGAAACTGAGTTCTGGCACTAATATAGGATGAATAGGAGCGTCACAATATGCCACTTTAGTCAAAAGCTTCAGGCGTGCTATATTTGAAAGCCTCTTTATCATTACTGTCTGAAAACAGGCCAGGAAACGGGCCATTATTATTATCTTCAAATGTAAATCTCATTGAAACACATTACGAGCTAAAAGGCTTTTACAAGCTTCCATCTGGTCTAATGTTATGTCTTTTGATGCCTGATAGCAAACAGTCTGAAGCAAAAATAGATATTAGTCAGTGAGTCCTTTGTGGGTACACAGCACACGAGCCAGCTCGCTGGAAGCAGACGGGCAAAATGTAGGTCAGCTCCACCCTCTTTCTTCAACACGGCCCCACCTTGTTTTTTACCCTTCGACGAAATAAGATTTCAAGCAGTGGAGCCTCACATGAACCCCGGGCAAAGCAACGGAAAATGTGGGGTAAAAGTGAAATAGTGGGTGGATGGGGTGGGGGCTGTTAATCCAGAGCAAAGAGAGACTCCAGCAAACAAGGGCATGCTAAAAATTCAGATTTGGCACTCCGAAAATGGTTTCCCCTCCTCCTCCTCCTTTTTTTTTCCCTCCTGGAAATATCTGCCTAGCTCCAAGAACTCTGACCATATACAGCAGCCTGTGGGATCAAAAATCAACAGACTAAACTGCAGTCACGTGTCTCAGCTGGCTTTGATTCAGCCCCACGAGCTGACTGCAGGAATGTCATGTCTGTGCAGTGACCCCTGTTAGAAGTGACCGCTATCTATCAGCAGGTTAAATTCATTTTCCACAGTGTTACTGCATGGCCGTCAGTGTGCGTGTTTGGACCACAAACAAAGCCACCTTTTAAGGAAGAAACAAAGGTGGTATTTGATCTCTGAGCTCGAAAAACAAAACAGACAGAAAAAGAGATGAAGGAGTAATTTATATTGTCTCCTGAGGCGGAAATGTGAGTACGGAGTTGGGGGTCATGTAGCAGCTGACTGCATGGCTGTGGATGGGTGACTACAGCCTTCCGTTATGAGTCTGCTGGTTGGGGCAGTGTGTCACATGCTGGGCAAAGCACACTTTCTCTCCTTCACACCACTGACAGATGCAGTGCTGTGGTCGTTAGAGGGTGGATGACTGAGAAGTGGATTTTACATACCGAGGGGAGCTAAATCACAGGTTATGCATCACCAACTGAGCAGTTATGAAAATATTAAGTGGGAGGGAAATGTTTCTGAGGTAATGCTGATGAGTCAACTTCTTTAAGGTGGTGGCATGCTTTGAAACCTTATGTGAAACTGACTAGATCTGAAGACTTCCTATATTCTTTCTTATATCCATACATCACAGAGACACGATAATAACGGGGCTGCACACTGCCCCAAGTCAACATGAAACGTGAGTAAAAAGAAAATGAATCATATAAAGAGAGCAGTGACACAAGGGCGGCAAACAGCAGCGGGGGGGTCGGCATGACTGCGGTTTGCAGATATGGTACTGAAGATAAACCTCAGAGAAGGGTTTCCATGTGAGATAACTAAAATTTGATCTGAAAGCAGAAAGGCAAAACAGCATTCTGGGGCCTCGTACACAAGTCGGAGCAAAAAAGCAACTTCTGTTTTAGACTGACGGCACGGAAACGAGCTCTGCTCCACCGAGGCCTTTGAATGGAAAACAAGAGATCAGAAATACAAACAGACGCTAGAAAGCAAAGGGTTGTTTACGCGGCGTGTGACTGGTGGGACAGCGAAACAGGTCAGCCGATGAAGCATTACGTGTTTTTTTTCTACAGGGTATAATTAAATTCCCACGCACAGACACGCTGACGTCCATCCAGAGACTCAAACCCAAGTTTTGCTCACGTTGTCCGCTTTCTTCTTGCATTGTTGACACACATCCACTCTCGCCGCTCCAGAGGGGGTTGCGATGCAACTGATGCTTCTTTATACGTGCAAAAACACCAAATCTATTTCCTTATCCAGTTCCAAATGGGAAAAATCTTTGGTCTAAAGCAGAAAATGTTGAATACAGACTACCTTGCTGGAAAGGTTGGGTTGTGTCCATCTGTAATTCAATGAAAAGTTTCTTTTTGCTCTTATACTGTTTCAATACTGTGTATACTCACAGACCTGGGTGGGTGCAACTTCTTTTAGGACTTCACAAGAGAAAAAAAAATATTTGTTTAAAATCAGAAAAGGCAGAAATCCAAATTCACTACAGACTGTAGTACTATTCCACAAGCTACATGGTACTGGGGCAAGAATAACTAGATTTACAGCCTACAGCTAGCAGCTCTGTAAGGCTGGATCAGACCTGCTCTATGGAGAATTTGTGCTTACGTCCACTAAAATTGGTAGATTTCAACCAATTTTAGTTGATTAGGGAGGAAGCAACAGGTCTTTCTGCCTTGAGGGCATCATCTTTCCAAGTATGGTTAAATCCAAGCAAAAATCAAAAAGGTGGATGCTATAAAATCCCTCATGGTGCTCTAAGAGCCACAGACAGGTATTTTACAACAAACATCACCCTAAAAAGATCTAATAATTGATTTAGAACAACTGGAAAACTGTAAGAAGAAAGTTTATGCCTTGTGAACATCAGATTGTTGGGCTGGAGCTTTTCCACGTGCTTTATTTTACAGTATTGTGTGATTGAATGATATATCACTCAGAAATCATCACGTCTTTTCCAGTATAAACTCTTGTGTTAGTATTTGCTCAAATACAGGACTTTGAATGCAATCCAGTATTATTATTATTACGTGTCCCAAATTACAGACCCTGATTGATTTTGATAGTAAGGACCAGTGATAATTCCTGGCCTTTATCTTTAATAGTTTTTGAGATACTTCTAATCAAACATTGCTGCAGATTTTTTTCAAAATGTGTCTTGAACACTATTTGATATATGAAGCTAAATTTTCACAGCAACCATTCTATATGTTCAAACTTTATACCATTAACTTTTTATGTAAATTAGGCTAATGACAAATGATTACATTATAGAAAAATCCCTCTTTTTTAGATGTGCTCAATTGCTGATGATCAGTTTACCAGATGCATCTGATTATCAGCATCTGGCTACAGCTGTGATGCAGAACTGTGTGACTGTATCAGCCTGTACCTGATTTTTTTAGCTCACAATCAGAGATGTTTTGCTACAGAGTGAAGCAGGAGTGTAATGGAGATTTCCAGATCTGTTCCCTTTATAGTGACATCCATATGAACATAAACATGCAATAGCTGCAGGTGCAGAGAGACTGTCCTTTTCACTGACATCTCATCCCTCCCCACAGTAGTGATGGCCTCATAAACAAAGAAATTAACCATGACTGTGGATTCCTCTTAGGCCTCCGTGTGGATCTGGTTTATTGTGCCAGCCAGTCACTCACGCTCAGACAAGGGCAGGCCTTGTATCTCAGTCCATGTCTCTGTAGGTCACCATCATTTTCGATTACATCGCACCCCCGCCCCACGCCTCCACGGCTTTGAGGAGCAGCAATCTGTGAAGATGGATGAGGTGCCCGCTGAGGAAACTCACAGAAGGAAATTAAAGGGGATTTAATTGGAATAATGACTTCAGTTCATTAATAACACTTCTAAGTGCAGTCAGTTTACCCACTAGAGCTGTAACTGCAGTCATCAGGGCCAACGGCAGAGCAGGGCGAAGAAAATCATCTTCTGTTTAGTGTTCCCTCAACATGTTTCGACTTCAAGGCTAACCCCATCCAAGACCAATGAACAAGTTACGGCCTGTCCTAAAAGAATAGTCCATATTATCCAATCACATCAATCCACTGTATCAGTTACAGAAGCTACTTTCATCACCTCAGCAGGTAGTTGTGTATCCAGCTGGGATCTATATCAATCCCTTATATAAATAAAACATATTATGTTTCTCAAGTTAAACATAGTTTTAAAAAAATAAGTACAAGCCAAAGAAATTATACTTCAACCAGAAACATTTGATCTTCTTTGGAATAGTGTCTATTAATAAAGGTTTTCAAAAAGTTGATTCTGTTCATCTGGACGTAACGTTTTCAGTGGGAGAAACGTTTCATTGCTCATCCAGGTGACTTCTCCGGGGGATTTCCTTACCTGGATGATTGAGCATGCATCAAAACATTAATAAAGGTTATATGTTTAGATAAATGACATATTAGAAGCGTGAGGTTGGTTTTAAACACTGCAAAGCTTCCTGATTGTCTAATCCTTATGTGGAGTTCCACTTCTCAGCTATTTCAACACAGAATAAATCAATCCACAGCAAGAAAAATCATCCACACATAAACTCACGAACTCGGGACTCCCGGGACTCCCCTAGGAGCAGACCCAAACACAAGTCTCCACGAGTCTGCCAAAAAAAAAAAAAAGAAAGAAAATGTAAAAATCAATGATTTTGCATCAGAGTTTTGCACAGCAAAGACAGCTTTTAATGAAAAGAGTCTCATACAGCTGTGAATCATGGTGGTTGAAACATGATGGTTTCAATGACTGTGTGGTTTGCAAACAATAACTGAACTATGACTTCTTTATATCAAAGAATGATTGAAGATAGTGCTAAAAAACTGCAACGGACAGAGGGCAACGATCTGAAACATAGAAGCAAACGCAGGAAGAAATGGCAAAGGGAAGAACTTAAAGATTTTGAGAAAAAAATACACATTTTATCCAACTAAAGTGCTGTGGGAGGATCTGAAACTGATCATATTTGGGGTGAAATAAAAACACTTTAACATCTTGTAACCAAACCAATAAAGCAATAAAGTAGCCTCATATGGAAACCTAATGCCGTGTGCATTTGCATCTGTTCTTTTCTAAGTGGTTATTGTTCACTCAGTAATCTGAAAAACCTTGGAGAGATATCTTCTATTATCTCTAACATAGAGACAGCAGGTCTGTATGATTTCACAGCAGGAGTCTGGCCAAATATCACCACTCAGGTTCCATTTAGATGAAATTCATGTCGTGTGTGGCATTTGAAACACAGAGAAGAGCAGTTTTTAGATAAAAGGAAACAATCATTGATATAAATTCACATGGACTAGCTCACACAGGCCTGATACAACCTCCTCCTCATGGCCTCATTACAGAATAGCCAGCTTATCAACTTGCATAATGGAAATAATAGCAATAAGAGATTAGCTGATTTGATTAACGAACTGAGATAAACAAACTGCAGCTAACTTCAAACAGGGGAGCCGTGAAAATGAGTGCACATTAAACCCATATTGCTTTGTCCACTTCTGACATTACTTATGAGCTGTGGGTGACATAAAATTAAACTTTAATAATAAGTATAGACAACAAATGACAGCTATGTTACTGCCATTTATTAGGGTGTTTGTTCTGTATTGGGTTTTATAGCACTTTAGCTCCAAGGCATGGCTGATATCTGGGCAATGAGCAAATGTCATATATTTATCATGTTTGTAACAACTCTATGACCTCGGTGCATGGATACAAAATAATAAAGTGATGCAATAAAACCCCTAGAAGGCAGTTTGATGGAAGCGTTGAGTGGGTCAGTGATGTATCATTACAACACTATTTACACTCGGCATTAAAAAGCAATTTCATATAGAGATCCTGTCTGGATAAGTACAGACGTACACTCACTGGCCACTTTATTAATTACCCCTTGTCAGAACTGGGTTGGAAGTGCGTTTGCCTTCTCAACTTCCTTCATTCTTTACAGCATAAATTCAACAAGGTGCTGAAAACATTCCTCAGAGATTTTGGTCTGTGTTGTCATGACAGCATCACACAGTACCTGCAGATTTGTTAGCTGTATCCAGTTCCACCGCATCCCAAAGCTGCTCTATTGTAATGATGAGATGTGGTAACTGTGGAGGTCATTTGAGTGCAGTGAACTGGCTTTCACGTTTAAGAAACAAAGCTTAAGATGATCTGAGCTTTGTGACATGGTCAGCAACAATACTCAGGTAGGCTGTGGTATTTTAAAGGTTAATTGTATTTTGCTTTAATACTTGAACAAATCGTTTGCCTTGTGTGAATCCTGGGTGTACCTGGGGCATAAAAGGCTTGTTTTGTGAAGTTTAAAGGAGCTTGTGTACCGCAGATCTAATCATTGCAGTGACGTTGTCATGGTCCTGGGCCATGTGGGCCCAGTAGTCTTAGTTTTCATGTATGTTTGTATTTTGTTCCTTATTTAGGCCATGTTTTCTGAGTTGCCCTGTTGTATTGTTCCCTAAGTGTTTTCCCTTCATGGCTTTTACCCCCTGTGTGCCCCTCTGTGTATCTGTGAGCCCTCATCTCCCCTCCTCGTTTCATTCCATGTTTCCCCAGCCCACTATGCCCGTGCTCTCTCTCTCCTCCTGCTTGCACCTGTGTACTTCCTGTTTTACTTTGACAGTCTCCCGTCAGTGTTGTTTACTCCTGCCATGTCTTGTTATGTTTATCCGTGTCAGCTGTGTTCCCATGTGTGGCCACTTCCCCTGATCATCCCTCTTGTGTATTTAGTCTCTGTGTTTCATGTAGTCTGTGTCGCGTCGTCTGTGTTACCACCTCCTGTGTTCTGTACCTCCAGCCATAGTCTTTCCTTAGTTTTGTCCAGTTTAGGTTTTCTGTTGTGTACTACACGTATGCTGCCCTCATTCTGTTTTTGTTCTTTTCATCAGCCATAATAAAAGGCTCGTTTTGTTGGAATCCACTCCTGCATCCTCGTTTGTGTTCGCACCTGGGTCCACCACACACCTTTCCGCACGGTCTGCCTCCGCAGACCTTGACAGACGTTAGTCGATGCAAAGCTTGAGCTAGTTGATAATAATCATTTGTACAGTTAAAGCCCCAGAAAGTATTTGCAAAGATTAGCCGCACTATGAGGTGACACACTTGGTATGTGTTATGTTTTTGAACTTGGGAAGGAAATGAGAGCATATCTGATTCCCTTCTGCTCCTGATCCTCTACGTTATATCCTAAAAACGATGCAGTTTTGTCCTTTTTCCTTTTTTTTCTGTTTTGATTACTAAAAACTAGAAAAGTGCAAAACAAAGGAAGCTTCTTTTTAAATCCAGGATTTAGTGTGCTTTACAGCGCTGTATCTAAAGGTTCATATTAAACACTTTTGTCACCTATATTTCTTTCAGTGTTTTCTTCTACCAAACTTGGCGTAGCCATAGGATGCTAATCTTCTGTTCCACCACATCCCAAAGGTGCTCTAATGGATTGAGATCTGGTGACTGTGGAGACCAGTACAGTACAGTACAGAGACCTGATTGTCATGTTGAAGAAACCAGTTTGTGATAATCTGAGTTTTGCAACATGGTCTGTTATCCTACTGGAAACAGCCATCAGAAGATGTGTACACACTGTTGGCATGGTCAGCAACAATACTCGGGTAGCCTGTGATGTTTAAATGATGCTTATTTGGTACAAAGGGGCCGAAAGTGTGGCAGATAAGTAACCCCACACCATTACACCACCAGCAGCCTGAACTGTTGATACAAGGCAGGATTGATCCATTCTTTCATGCTGTTTATGCCAAATTGTGACCTTACCATCCAAATGTTTCAGCAGAAACCATGATTCATCAGACCACCGGTGTTTGCTTTGTTTTAACGAGTGGTTATTTAAGTTACTGTTTCCTTCCTTCTATTTTCTCTTTTTCTACTCCCTATAAACTCTAGAGATGGTTGTGTGAGAAAATCCTTGTGCTTCTGAAATACTCATCTGGCACCAGCAACCGTGCCAGGCTGAAAGTCACTTAAATCCCCTTTCTTCCCTGATCCTCAGTTTGAACTTTACCAAATATATGCACTCAAATGTTTGAGCTGCTGCCCTGTGACTGGCTCATTAAATATTTGCATTAACAAGCAGCAACAGGTGTACCTAATAACGTGGCCAATGTGTGTGTAAATGCAAGTAGTAAACCCACACAGTGTGGTCAGAGAACAATGTGGTAAGACAGGCCACATCTGGAGTAGCTCCCCGGAGGGTAACTCGTGCTGACACTGGAGATCGGCTGACTGTGGTCAGAGTCTGAACCTGTCCTCAGAACATCTGCTGAATGTGACCGGGCCAACCATGACACACCACATTGTGAAACTGCTTGTCAAAAGCACCGCATTTGTTAGCACTCACTGGTACATTCATTAAACATTTTATTCTGTCTCGTCCTTGCGTTCATATTCTCGAAGACGGGACTGTGCAAGAGACCGACACGCATACATATAATGCCACATGACCTAATCAAAATCCTTCTTAATGATTACTTTTCTTTTACCTTTAGCTTGTCTTGAACTGGGGGAGAGTCAGACACTATGTATAAAATTATGTATAAAATGATTTATTATATGTCAAATCTGCCCTAACCGCCATTCACAGCACAGTAACCTGCCCGTGCTATGCCAGCCAAAGCAATACATGCAGAGCACGTGCCCCTCCCTCTAGGTCAAACTGTTCCTTTAAGTAGTTCATACAGTTAGCGGCATGCAGCCAAGTGCACAACAGCACGTACACATTCGCACCCGGCGCATGAGTCTAACTGGCACAAGTGAGACTGGCCTCGCCGTGCTCTCTGATGCAATCTTTGTTTCCAAACAAAAGACTTCAACTTTCTGTTTCACTTTAATGCTGCTGCTAACGAGTTGCAGTCTGATGACTTGATTAAAGCAAGAAACTCTTGACCTTGCTGCAGTGAAGGAGACCTGGTGGATCTGTAGTGCTGTGGGGGCCATGGTGTTTGAAGTTAACCCTGTAAGCCTGAACCTTTCAAAAAATAGCCAGAAAATTCTGATTTTTTGGCACCGAGATGTTTATTAACCCTTATAACAAATTCCACAAAAAATGTCCTATATCATGTTGTGTATGAGATATTTTTATCATATATTTATCATATATTTTTTGTATCACATTTGATACATTGGGTGTTTTTGGCAACTTTTTGTTAACAACAATGATCATTTAAGACAAAAAAATGAGTTTTCTCCATAATATTTTGAAATTATGGCAAGTATTGATCATGTTGATGTGATAGGGGTCTCAGAAACTCATGTTCCAAATATGATACCGAGGGAATAACAGGATAATGATAAGTCCATTATCCTCATTTTAGTGCAGGAACACATTGGTAGCATTTAAGTATTTTAGTGTTTTATGAAAACCCTATATCATGGCTTTCAACTAACACCTGCATAGTCACAGCAACATTTTAGTCCTGCTCCCTGAGTTTAGTTCATTCTGAAGAAGTGAATCACTGCACGAACTCACCCACCCATCCACCCACATATACACGTACACACAACTGCAAGGAAAAAGCACACAAACACACACAAGCATATGTACATACACCTAGACTTTATTAATGATCAAATCAAAGTCTTATCTCCCTGCTCACAGCAGAAGTACCAGTGTGAACAGTGCAAACACCCACAGACATATATTATGGTCCTCTATAGCTTCTGGGAAAAGAAAGACCAAATGCGTGCGCGCTTGCTTTGGTGCCACGTGAGTTCCTGGTTAAGTAGGTCAGTCAGTAAGTCAGGAGTGGCAGGGAAGGAGTTCACAAACACGAGCTAACTCCATTACCTCACATAGTGGATTAGTGTCAACAGGCCCATCCATCTGTCTACAGCCATCTTGGCTCAAGTGACCATGAGAAGAGCAGCAGTGGTTTGTGTACCTGTCCCCCGGTTCGGCCAAGTTAAGCCTCACAGATAACCTGTAAGCTGTGCACGCAAACATCCACATGAGGGAACGTGCAGTCAGCAGTGCACCGAGTCAGGCTGGTGAAGTTACACCTGTGGCAATCGATGCTGAGTTAGAGCAAACAGGCGGCTGACACAAAGCAACACATCCTGTTTGCTGTGTAGTGTGTCAAAGTATGAACCGGGAGAAAACAACAAAAAGAAGGTGGAGAAGGTGGGGGTGGGGGGGAGGGTGGCTTCCTGGTGCAATAACCTCATAAACAACCCTCCAGGAGTGTTTTGACTGCTGACTGAAACATATACAGGAAGTGTCCAATTGCAGCGTCTCTGGTAAAGCCAGCAAGAGGCTAAACGTTTTTTAATCTGTATGTAATGAGGAAGTTCTCTGGTTTAAAGTGTTTTATTACTTTCGTAACAAAACACAAAGTACAACTTCATGAACACAGAAAGGGTTGTCTTTTTTCTTCTCACAGAAACACAGAGCTGACATTCAATTTCTTGGTGTGCCTATTTATAAATCCATCAGATACAGTACAGCAATTACTTTTATCTCCGTCACTTCTAAAAATATTTGTCTCTTTAGCCTCTAAACATGCCCCTGCGTGTTAGCAGACACTGTCACTGTCTGCTGTGTAGAGTGTAACTGCAACTGTAAGGTTTGTGGCAATGCAAAGAGTCTGCAACATACAAGCTGTCATTCACTGTTAGTAAGACAATAAATAAGTACATGAATGAATATATGGATTGTATACACTTTAAAAGCACACCTCGTGTTCTGTTATCACAATAAACTGTGATAACAGTAAGAATTTGGTGAATTTCACTGTTTTGTTGATAAAAGACCCGTTTACCTTGTCTTTCTTTTGATCTTTCTCTTCTGCAACTGAAAGTAAACTATGACTGGCATCCTGTTAGTCACTCTCATTTTTCGGGTGAATAAGATTTTCCAGTTAAGAAGACTTTGAGCCTGCGTACTTTACATTCATAATTTGTTTTGATGGTAACAGTTTCTAGTACAATGCCTGGAGTTCGAAAACTTTAAAACAATCAAGTTCCAAAAGCATCTACAGTTTCTATTTGAAGGAATAAATCTCCGAAGGGTGCGTGTTAGTGCCAGAATACAAGCAGTCACATAACAAAAGAACCTTGTTTCTTCTGTGAGCATGTGGCTTCTGCCAGTGCTAGAGTTTGACGTGCATCAGTTGCATTATTTTTATTCACCAACTTTTCCTAGAATTGTAAGATCAAGACTTCTTGCTTAAATGTTCCCATGCGTTCCAACCTCTGAGGCCTAGAGCGGTTAGTTGGCATGCATTTGCCAATTTATCCAGCAAACCCCCAAGCAGCAGAGGAACTTCACCTTAAAGTAAAAGGTGTGCCTTACCACTAAAACAACAAGTTCTGCTTTTGAAAGTAAACAATCTCCAGATGCACTTTTTATAGTTTCACTACAGCTCAGCAAGTGGTTGGCAACTGTTTGCAGACAATTTGGCATCTTCAATGCAAGAAGAGACCCCAGAAAACTGCTCACGACCAAAGTAATCATAACGAGGTTTTCAGTGCATCACTGTATACTACGGTTGGACGATTGGACAAATTTATCGACCATCGACGACAGGCTGAGCTGTTCACCGATCGTTTTTACAAGAGGGATTTATTTATTTTCCAATGAGTAAGTTTGCTTATAATGTTCGTCGAAGCTAAGAGAAGCAGTCAACGAAAAAAACAATGGGGCTATTTTAATGGTACCCTCTTCCAGCTGCGAGCAAATGCACCCTCCTTAGAGTGCGTGATTCATTTACTCAAACTCATAACAGGTGGTGGACACGTAAATGCTCATGCAAGTTAGTTGTGTTTGAGTCCTTTGCTGGCACTATACGTCTGCACAAGCGGCACACCCCTTTGGTTAAATAATCAGGTTTATCTCTTTCATCTGGTTTAAAGCCAAAGAAATCCCAATTTGGCGACTTTGTATTTTTTTTTGCAACTAGTTCCTTCATGTTTGGACTTCTTCTGTGTTCTAAATGTGCAAATCAGTCCATGCACGATTAGATTGCTCCACCATCAACAAGTCACCTGCGTAATTATATTGCCTAAAGAAACCTTTTTACTAAAAATTATCGTTTCACGTTAATTGAGAGTGAAGAAACATTTTTGGAGCTTTTGCTTTAATGGTGTAGTCGCTTTGAATGGCAGGTGGATAAAGATATAGGTGACTGTAGCCACCTGCTGTGTTTCACCTCTGCTATCATGAATCAATGAAATCCCTCCACTCTCTTTGTGCTGTTGGTGCACTCCTGAGCAATTTTAATGAAGTTATGCAACAAATGATATTGTCTGTGCTATTCAACCGTGTTACATCTGTATCTGTACCTTCCAGTCCAAATAAGGTCAGTTCTGAATCCGAAAACTAAGACGGAAAAGCAAAATGCTAAAATAGTGAGCGATGGCACGCTTTTATATATACACTGATAAATCCATGACCACCATAAAGCCAGTAACAAAAACATATGCATGCCTTACAGTTGCATTTTTTCACATTATAAACTCTGATCATGCCACTTTGATGTCTTGACAATAAAATCACTTCAATTGCTGTTACATAATTTTAAGTATTTGGGGCTGAACTGAGCTTGTGTTTACCACATGTTTGGTATAAACTGCTGAAGCACTGTTGCCTGCTTCTAAAGACATTCATGCAGCATTGCATTTAGTAGCACTGCCTCTCGCCGACTGCCAAGAAAAGGTTAGGAGAACGCTTGAGGCCTCGCTGGAAGTAAAAGCAACAGCTGTGATTACAGAAGCAGATGGAATAGAAAGCGAGCGCAGTAGCGAAAAAAAACACACAAAAAGTGAGATCCCTGAGGCAGATACGCTGAAGGGGAAAGGAGGAAGTAAAGCAGGCAGAAGTGAGCTGTAAGTGCACACAGTGACAGCAAAGGAGTCAGTTTACAGTAAGGGCCTCCCTGCTCCTCCCAGCCACTCAATCCTTCCTCCTCTAATCCAAACACCTGGGGGGAGGGGGAGGGCAAACAGCAGGCCCCATGTGAGTGGTTGCTCACATGCAGCCAGGACTCAACGTGTTACAGTAACACCTTTACTGGGGCCATGGCAGGCAGTTATGTAAAGCACACACACACACACCCCACACACACACATACATATATATAAACCGAGGGCATGGGAAAAGCTAGTTAGGTTAGCAGGTGGACGTGGCAGCAAATAGGACAGAGGGGATTGAAAACCATCAGCTGTTGTTTGTGTTTGCTGTCCTGCTGTTTACAGTACAATAAGCACACAAGCTGGCCACCAAAAAAACACAATGTGCCAGCAGTTTAGATTCTGGCAGGTTTTACTGGAAGTGTAATGACCAGACTGGATGAAAAATCAAAGTCTCCTCTTTGTAGTCCAGATCTACGTGATCCCAGGTATAGCTGACATGTCTGGCGCTGCGGTGCGCAGGGAGATGGCCTAACAGGGTTAAACACACACTCGTTGACACAGAGGCAGCGTCTCCATAAGGCTTCTACTTGTGGGAAAGTTCAGCTGAAATCCCCCTCAGAGAGTGTGGGTCGAGGATTTGGGCTCCACTTGTGAAGAGGTGATGACAATTAACATTTCAGCTCAAACACTTGGCTGCAGAGTGACCTTCTGCCTGAGCGCTGAGCAAATAGGGTAAATCCTAGAATAGCAGTGATAGAGCCTGAGAACTGTTTAGCATTTGGATGTATACACAGAACCCTTTTTTCATGAGTGTGTATTTTTTACACCAGCAAAATAGCTTCCAAAGTATTGTATGTGAGCAGGGTGGAAGCCGCCCCCACCTAAATTATATTTGACCTCCTCTTTTACTCCTCTTGCGCTTCTAAGAAGCCCCCTCCTGCTTCCGAAAAATCCACTGGGATTCGTGGCAAAGCTTTTTCTCTGCTCTGAGGTAACTCCTGCACTGACAAATCTTTATTAATAGCAGCAAGTGCCTGAGCCGTTAATATTCAGCCCGAGCAGGACTCTGCCATGAGTTGCAACAAAACGTGGAGAATAAAAAAAGCTCCAGCCACAAAACAGACTTCCTATTCCCGTTAAACTAACACACGTAAAGCTTGTTGTTGATCAGGAGAAACTAGGTTATCAGCGTGCGCTTAAATCAGGGAGTGGGAATGGGAGAATGGCTGCCATTGTCTGTGAAGCAACAGGCAGAGCTGAGGGAAATGGTGGGTTCTTCAGAAGAAGGAAAAAAAACCCGGCTCGAAGAGAGAGTGGGAGTGGAGTGGAGAAGGGTGGGGGGGACAGGACAGCACGTGAAGGCAGGGAGTGTGTTGTCTGAGAGCCATGTGCTCAAGCCAGGCGTGTGAGTGACTGGAGCTGCTCGCGTCACTGCATGACTCACACTACAGAAGGCTGCTCTTCGCACATCTCCATTCACATACACACAGATGCACACGTAGACACGGATAAATCCATCAGAAGCGCGCCCGCCTAAAAATAGACGAGACAAATAAATAACTCTTAGAAATGCACTCAAACCAGAAACTTACAGTGAACACAATAGGCCTACCCTGCCACGCCAGGCCTCAGACTTAATGAAGATGCAATGATAGGAATAAGGAAGATGCATCTTAGGAGCGGCAGGTGATGGCTCAACATATACCAGAATAAATGCAGTGAGACTCTAAGGCGTTCTGTATTACTTTCAAATAATTACACCCCCTCTTTTCTCATTTAATTTCATCACTGCTGAGTCAACACAGGCATCATTTACTCTTCTGTCCTCTTTTGTGTTTCCCCGAGTCCAAGCGTCACAGTCAGTGTGATATCACACTAGTTTTTCAGGGGGTTGTTTTCTTTTGGAGATATAACCTACTTAAATGCACACGTGTCATCTGTTCACGTCAATGATAAATTTATTCATTTTACAAACCTTTGGACTTTGATAGGTCAGCTGTGCTTCAGCAGGATGTTTGCTCATGCTCAAAGCTTCCTGGAATCTGAAAGCATGTCACAAAGAAAAGAGTGTTGGAGTACCTCAGCGGTGTTATTGAGTCTGACTGAAAACAAGGTCAGATGACATTTATTTAAAATCAGTTCCACCGCTGCCACTTCTGAACTTGAATGAAGAAACAAACATGCAGCTTCAAAGCCATGTGGGGTTTATGTGCGCACAGCCAGAGCTGTGTGCTTGAGATGAGGTTACTCACACATTGGAAGCTGAAGATCTTGACACATATTGTGTAAATGTCAGTCAGTGGAAACCAAAATCACACAAAAAGCTAGAAAAAAAGGGTTCAGGGTGGTGGTATAATTTCTTGACCCATCCATCCATCCATCCATCCATTCTCTTCCGCTTATCCTTATCAGGATCCCAGCTGCCATAGGACTAGAGGCAGGAGTGTACCTCCCACCAGTTTACAATCACCAGTGGACATAATCCAACTAACTGCATGTCTTCGTGGGAAAAAGCCAGAGTACCCAGAGAGAAAACCCACACACATGTAGGGAGAACATGCAAACTCCACATAAAACAGGTCCAATGATTTGACTTGAACCCAGGACCGATATTTCGGATAGTTTCAGTAAACTACCTCCAGAAATTTGCCGACATTTGGAAGTTCTTATACTGACGTTACTGCTTATACTGAGGGGATGATTGTCATTCTCTCACTGACAAATTCAAAAACTGCAGTGAAAAAGTATCCAGGAATGCACAGGAGGAACCAACAGCACAGGACATCGGCACAGCCAATCACAATCATGCGTTGACCTGACATGTAGCTACATTTCTAGGGAAGTGCACATCAGGTGTAGATGTATATGGGTAGACCATAGCTAAAGCATAAATCCACCTTAAGTGTTCAACAACCAAGTTTTGGAAAGGCTTTGGAACAGTCTCCGACTCCAGCTACATTTAGCTGATTAAAAAGCGCCTAAAACATTTTTCTTACCTCAGCCAACGAGGTTATGTTTTTGTAGCATTTGCATGCATGGGTGTCATCATTCTGAAAACTGCTTGAAAAGTTTTGAATGAATACTGATAAAACACTGTAGGGGTGTAGAGTGAAGTCACGTTAGAGATCCATTCAAATTTGGCTTACATCCACCAAGATCTTCGAGACCAATCAGTTGAAAACCGCTGAAGATGGTGATTCTTGATCACTTGCAGAAGTAGAGGTAACCCACAAACATCAGGCAAGCCTGAATCTCACATATCGTCTTACTTAGTTTAAAGACAAAGACATTTTTACACCCTTCAGAGCAGCGCGAAGAGAGATGCAACAGTATCGCTCCATAGTAGCACAGCTTCATTAAAAGTTTCTCAAAAGAGAACTTTATAACTAACCCCGCTTCACAAGCTCCCAGCGTGAGACAAAGAAGCTGCACTGTGGCATCATCAGCCGTGGCGAGGAAGCGGTTAAAAATTCTGATCAGCATCCTACGTTCATTCCAGAGGTGAGAATGGAAAACCGTGAATAACTCTCGTGGGCGTCAAAACATCTGTATATGAATTTAAACGTGCAGAGTCGCCATCAAAGTAGGGCGTCATGTTTAGCCCTTTATGCATATGCATGAGCCATGTGCATGTATGCCGTAACCAATCTGCACCCTGCCAAGCGTGCCCAACAGTGCTCGGGTGCAAATTATCACACTCACTGTCACTCACATTGATACGCTGTTTGTATACACGGTGTCTGTGTGATTATTTTCTAATGCACACGTGTTAATTGCACACGAGGGTCAGTATGTGGACTATTCTCGACCCCCCCACCCCGCCTCCCACTTCCTCTGAGAATAAGGAACAAGGTTGTGTTTATCAACAGCGTGCAGGGCCCACACATGCAAACGAGGCTTTGAGCTGGCTTTGTTACAGCTTCTACAGCACACTGTGACATCCGCAGAGGTGCTAAAAACCACAATTGTAGCACGCTGACCTCAACAACCCATGCAGCATCATCGCACTTTATCTCAGCTTTTGAGCTGGAAATGCATCCCCTCTAAAGTGGGTGAGGAACCTGCCCAATGGTAGTAGTCAGCTTTTCACAGCCTCACATGTTCCCTACGAGCACAAACAAAACAGCAGTGAATTTCATAAAGATAAGGACAAGTCGTCTTTCACATGCTGCACTTCATCTTGATGCAAGAGAAGAAAAATTAGAATCACAAGCTTGGCCACCGTAAGCAAGCACTTGCTGCACTTCCCCCTTACCCACCACACAGGATGTGATATCATTACACCTTGTGCAAAGAAATGCAGAAGTTACAGAGGTCACTGGATGAAAGATCAGTTACCTGACCGCAACAGAACCTGCTAAGTTTTATTTGCTGGTTTTTTGTGTGTGTGTGTGTGTGTGTGTGTGTGTGTGTGTGTGTGTGTGTGTGTGTGTGTGTGAGTGTGTGTGTGTGTGTGTGTGTGTGTGTGTGTGTGTGTGTGTGTGTGTGTGTGTCTTACCATGACATGATTTTATCTAATGGCTTTCACTGGATAAAAAGAAGTTGCTTCTATGGAATGTATATGGAGTGAATCACAGATGTGGGTGCAAAAGTTAAAACATAAGTCCACAAGCCTGCAGATTTATAAGCAATGGCAAAAGAAATTAGTCTCATCGTTTTCTGACCATGCGGATGTTCATAACATGTATCCACAGCGGGCCAAAAACAGGATACACACCTCAGTTTAAGAGTGTGCGTGAACATGAACTGAAACCCTCTAACTTCCTCAAACACTCCATGGTCAAGAGAGGTGAAGATCATCGGTTTTATTGACAACGACTCTGTGTCTAGCCCATCCTCATAGAACGTCTCGTGTGGCCTCTGCACAGCACCGCTCCAAAGTCAGATGAGAATTGTTCTTGATCAGTCAGAGCGAAGGCCACGGATGATGCACTATTTCCGTGGCTACATGCAGCTCACGCACCCAGCTGAGCTCACTGCCGGACATCACAGGCATGCATAATACATGAGAAAGTGTCCTGTTTCTCCTCCAGAACTGCTGACCTGTGCATCAACCTCTTACACACATACACACAGCGTGAGGCAGGTCTCATCTAATGACTCCAGAACCCACATCCCTTTGCTGAGTGTGCATCTATTGCTGCCAAGTTCTTTGTTTGGGTAGATGGTCCACCATCCGGTGCTTATCCTGTGATCAGGTAAACCACCGAGCAGCTCCTGGGCTGAGCCCTTAGATATGTTTGTATTATTTATTTATATTTAATTTTTAAAAAAGAGTGTTAACCCGGCGACCCGGCCTCGGATAAAGCGGATGAAGATGGATGGATGGATGGATGGATGTAAAGTGTATAATAAACCAACTGTCCTGTAGTGAGCCAGTGCTACAGCCGAGTGGCTACTCCACGTCAGTGCAGTTTGCTCGTAAATTAACTCGCCCTTTGCTGAGCAGATAGTGCTCTGGCGCCATCTAGTGGTGAAAGCTATACCATAGTTACTGTGTAACTATTTTGGTTTTGTACGTTTACAAAAGATGTTACTGTTAGCTAGTTAACACTTTGTCTTACCATTGGTGAGCAGCTTGACTCTTCTCCACTGAAGCTGGGAAGAGATAGATACACTTTGTTGCAGCCATATTTGTGTGGGTGGGGGAAAAATCGCAGTAACTTGTTTTAACTTGTGTGTTTGAACCTTTGAAAGAAACCGGCGCGAGCAGTAACGACATTGATGTACCACGCACGAGCGCCTGCAGGGGTCAGTGACGTCAAACATTGCGGAAACCACTTCAGACTAAATAAAGTATGTAAGTATGATTAATTATCTTTTAATGCGTGGTCTATTTGCAGTTTTCTCCTCGCTCGAAGCGTTACAGGTCATACTTGCTTTTTAGATTCTGAAAATAATTTAAAAGGTAAGTCTTGGAGGAACTGATGAGTCGATCTAATAAAAAAGATGAAAATAGTGGAAAGATGCATTTTTGATTTTAGAAAGACGTCAATTAGTCCATGTCTTGTTTTAATTAGTTCTTGTTTCATTAGCAATAAATAAATAAACCTTACTGGAACACCTTTAGGTTATATTAATTTGATTTAAAGCTCACTAGCCACTTTTTCGGGTGCACCTGTCAAACTTATTGTTAACACAAATATCTAATCCGACAGCAGCTCAGAGCATTTAATTATGTAGACATGGTCACAACGGCCTGCTGAAGTTCAAACACAGCATTAAGAAAGTTACTTTGACTGTGGCATGGTTGTTGGTCCCAGATGTATTGGACAGAGTATTTCACAAACTGCTTGTCTGCTGAGACTTTCCCACACAACAACCTCTAGGGCTTGCAGAAAATCGTCCAAAAAATATGAGATATCCAGCTAGCGGCAGTTCTCTGGGTGGGGACAGAAACACCAGACTGCTTCCAGCTGATAGGAAAGTAATAGTAACTCAAATGACCAGTTTTAATCAAGGTAGCAGAAGAGCATCGCTGAATATGTAACATGTGGAACCTTGAAACAGATGGGCTGCAGCAACAGAAGACCACACTGGGTGCCACTCCTGTCAGAAACAGAAGCTTTAATTCAGGCTCATCAAAAATTGATCAACAGAAAAAGAAAGTCTGGATTTCTGCTGTGAAATTTGGCCTGAACATTAAATGTTGTATCATCAGTTCAGGCTGAACTCTTGGCACACTCAGTCCAACCTGTCAACACCACAGCTTACCATAGTTGCTGACCATGTCCATCCCTTTATGGCTGCAGTGCACCCATTTTCTGACAGCTGCTTCCAGCAGGATAACACACAGTGTCACAAAAGCTCAGATCATCTCAAACTGGTTTCTTCAACATGACAGTGAGTTGACTGTACTCAAATGGACTCCACGGTCAGCAGATCTCAATCCATTACAGCCCCTTTGGGATGTTGGGGAGTTAATAATCTCTTGCTCTCTTCCACAGCATGTCTTTTGTCTCGTCTCCCTCTCCCTGAGCCTGGCTCTCCCAGAGGTTTCTTCCTGTTGAAAGGGAGTTTTTCCTTCCCATTGTTGCTAAAGTGCTCACTCATATGGGGTTGTCTGATTGTTGGGTTTTATCTAGATTATTTTAGGAGGTTTTACCTTACAATATTAACCACTTTTGACCACTAAGGTGACTTTTGTTGTGATTTGGTGCTATGTAACTACAATTGAATGTGGTGGAACAGGAGATTTGCATCCTCTGGCTACACCACATTTGGTAGAAGAAGACACTGAGAAAAATATAACTGACAAAAATGTTTAATATGAAGCTTGAGATACAGCTCTGTATTGCATATTGAATTCTGGTTTTAAAAAGCAGAGTCCCTTGTTTTTTTAACTGTAGCTCTTAGCCATTTAAAAAAAAAAAAAAAAAAAA